TCTTTACGCCGTCTTCAGGGGTGTTTATCACCGTCACGCCGCCATCTTTTGTGATCACCAGTTTTGTGGGGAAACCCCATCTGTACCGGATACCGTGTGATCTTAGTGTTGCGGTGACTTGGGTGAATTCTTTTCGTTTTTTTAGCGTAGCTGCCGACAAGTCCGCATAAATCTTGACGGTGGGGTAATCGGTCGGTGGTTTAGCCCTTGCTCTGCTGCTCCGGAGGATATGTTCCTTTATATGGAAGTAATGAGCACGAAGCAGTATGTCTCTGGGTACCGTCTGTGGAAGGTGTCTGGGTTTCGGGATACGATGCACCCTGTCGACCAGCAGCATATCCGTGGGTATCTCTGGCGCGTGTGCATGCAGCAGGCTCCTCACATATGCCGGTAGGTCATCATTAGATACATCTTCCGGGACTCCCCTTAGGCGTAGATTGTTTCGGCGAGAGCGATCCTCCAGATCCGCCAGCTTGCCTTCCAGTTTGTCAAGTTCTTTTGCCATGCGTTCCACATTCGTTGCCAAGTCATTGTGGGCTGTAGCGAATTCGTCACATTTGTCCTCCATATGTGACGTCCGTTTCCCCAGCTCCTGTATGTCTTTACGCATGGAGTCTGCTGTGTGCTGCCATGTGGTGATGAGTTTGTTGGATAAAGTTTCCAGGGCTGCATTGAGATCAGCTTTTGTGATTTGTGATGTGTGAAGTTGGTTTTCCAGTTCCTTGGTGTGTATGCCGTCGTCCGATTCCGGATCTGCATACTCTTTTGAGGCCTGCGCCGCCATAGTCGCGGAGGTTTGTTTTTGGCTGAAAAAATTGAGCTTGTCAGGCTTTGCTGAGCTCCGCTTGCTTTTGTGGTGGGACATTGTCAGATTGTAAAGGTGGATGCCGCTTTAGGTGCTAGGATTGCATTAGATTAGGTGTCCTAGTGCCGGAGCAAGTTTTCATGCGGCCATCTTGCTCCGTGGTTAGCCACGCCCCCCCTGGTGGTTACCCCTTTTGAGTTGTGGTTTTGGTGGGTCGTCTGTTTGTTTGGGGCATTTGTGTTGCCTTTCCTTTGGCATTATTTTGTCCTCACCCGTCGGTGGTGAGCTTGCGGTCTGTATTTCCCCCCTTGTGGTCTTTAGGTGTTGCATAAGGTGTTGGAGTGTGCGGGTGTCTGGTGGTGTTTGGGTAGTTTGGTGTCGTTGGGTGTACCTTGTTGTTTGGCTTTTGGTGATGTTGGAGGTAAGAGTTGTGTTGAGGTTTGTGGTAGGTTTATGTCTGTCGGGGCTTAATCCCCGGTCCTTATTGTCAGACTTAGTTTTTGAGGTGCTCGTGGTGTGTGCGTGAGTGAGAGTGGGTGTTGTGAGTGTCTATGGTGTGTCTAGTGTTGTTATTTAGTTTTTCATTTGGTGACTTGTGGGTTAGGTGTTCAGAGTTTGTGGTGAAGGTTCGTAGGATGTGAGGGTTATGGGGTGAGGAGTGGGGGGGACAAGATGGGTAGGGGGGTGAACAAGGGTGGGTTGGGTCTGGCTCACTGTGGGGCTTCTGATAGATGGGCATGTTGTGGTCCTTTCTCAACGGGGTGTGAGTGCGTTTTGTTCGGTTCCCAGGCCAACCGCTCCCGACCTCAGCAAGGACTCTCGGGTCCATGGATCCTAGATTTTGTGGTAGTGTTGTATTGTGTCATGCAACAGTGCTGATAGTTTGTCCATTTCCTGTGTTTCTGTTATTTTTGTGACCATTGTTGTCAGTTGAAGTGTGTTTTGGTTCCCCCATTGTTCCGCTATTGTACGTCTGGTGGCGAGTGCCATTTTCGCCACCAGCTTATTCTGAGCTCTAGGGAGATGGGCATGGGGTTTGGAGAGTAGCCATATCCAGGGGTCCATTGGTATGTCAGTGTGTAATATCCTGGAGGCCAGGTTGGTTACTTGTTGCCAGAGTTGGGATATCTGCGGACATTCACACCAGCAGGAGTCTGTGTCCCTGATACCCATTTGTTTTAATCTCAGGGGTGTGAGGTACCAGCGGAGTAGTGTCTTATAGGCTTGCTCCTTGTGGTTTACACAGATTGTTAGGCTGTGGCTTCCCAAATCTCTGCCCACACGGAGGGTTCCTCAGGGGGGCCTATATCCCTTTCCCACGCCGTAGTGTAAGAGAGGGCGTGTGCCGGTGAGTTGGAGTTGAGGAGGAGGTATATTGTGGAGATTTGCCTTTTTTTTTATCGGTGCATGTACAGGGAGTGCAGAATTATTAGGCAAGTTGTATTTTTGAGGATTAATTTTATTATTGAACAACAACCATGTTCTCAATGAACCCAAAAAACTCATTAATATCAAAGCTGAATATTTTTGGAAGTAGTTTTTAGTTTGTTTTTAGTTTTAGCTATGTTAGGGGGATATCTGTGTGTGCAGGTGACTATTACTGTGCATAATTATTAGGCAACTTAACAAAAAACAAATATATACCCATTTCAATTATTTATTATTACCAGTGAAACCAATATAACATCTCAACATTCACAAATATACATTTCTGACATTCAAAAACAAAACAAAAACAAATCAGTGACCAATATAGCCACCTTTCTTTGCAAGGACACTCAAAAGCCTGCCATCCATGGATTCTGTCAGTGTTTTGATCTGTTCACCATCAACATTGCGTGCAGCAGCAACCACAGCCTCCCAGACACTGTTCAGAGAGGTGTACTGTTTTCCCTCCTTGTAAATCTCACATTTGATGATGGACCACAGGTTCTCAATGGGGTTCAGATCAGGTGAACAAGGAGGCCATGTCATTAGATTTTCTTCTTTTATACCCTTTCTTGCCAGCCACGCTGTGGAGTACTTGGACGCGTGTGATGGAGCATTGTCCTGCATGAAAATCATGTTTTTCTTGAAGGATGCAGACTTCTTCCTGTACCACTGCTTGAAGAAGGTGTCTTCCAGGAACTGGCAGTAGGACTGGGAGTTGAACTTGACTCCATCCTCAACCCGAAAAGGCCCCACAAGCTCATCTTTGATGATACCAGCCCAAACCAGTACTCCACCTCCACCTTGCTGGCGTCTGAGTCGGACTGGAGCTCTCTGCCCTTTACCAATCCAGCCACGGGCCCATCCATCTGGCCCATCAAGACTCACTCTCATTTCATCAGTCCATAAAACCTTAGAAAAATCAGTCTTGAAATGGCCCAGTCTTGTTTCAGCTTGTGTGTCTTGTTCATCAGCCTTTCTTACCTTGGCCATGTCTCCACAGTGCTTTTTTTTTTTTTTAGACAATCTTTATTTTCAAATTTTATCATTTTTTCAAGGAAAGATGTAGTAACGGCATAACGTCAATTTTAACATCAGTGTTCTGAATAGCTTAACAACATTCGTCACCATTGTTTTAACATTCTCAAAACAGTTTTCTCAGACAATATTTCTATAGTTTCCATCACATGCTTTAGATAGGATTATTTAAGGTCAAGTTTCTAGACTCGCATCCCCACTAGCCTACAATGTGCAGTTTATTGCACCTATGGTGTGCGCTTTACGTGTAGGGTATGAATCGGTGTCTAGTCTGGGTGCTGTGGGGGGTATGTTTTCTGACATGCTACATTTCTCATTTCACGTTTCATACCAATAGTGTCAGGAGCCTTTTTGTCGCTTGACATGTATATATATATATTGTTGGGCATGGTATAGGGTCACGCTAGCGAGCAAAGATATTTTTAGTGCCTTAACTCCTCCCCAGACTACTCAGCACTTATTAACATTCAAGGCCATCTTGTCGCCTGGTTGAGAGCAAAGTGTGATGGTTTTGGTTAAGTTCCCCACTATGGTGGGTTGGCAGTTGCTAGTGCATATTTTTGTATGCCTATCGGTATAGTTTGTCTTATGGGAGGATACTCTGGGTATCAGTCTAGGAGGCCAGGAGGGGATATTTTCATGCCGGTATCAGCTCTAGGTTGGGTCTCGGTTTCCTGTGTGTTTTACACCTGTGATTACAGTGGGTGTGCGTATTGATAAGCCCCATTTACAAGCTAGTCAGAGTCGGTCGTTGGGGTTCTGTCTAATGTCCAGTCTCGGGAAAGGGTCAGGAGGCAGGGGACCTTGGAGGGAGGGGTAGCCGGGTGGCTTAGCTCTGTATGAGTCAGTCAACTGCGGGCCTCTGGGGGGCCGTGTTTGGGTTTGCTAATCTGTTGGCTAGGTATGTTTCCCAAGGGTACCAGGTCAGTGCACATTGCTCCTGTCTACCGTGTAGGTCTGCAGTTAAGGACTCCATTGAGTGGATTTCTTCCACCCTTGTCACCCATTGCTGGAGGGTAGGCGCCTCCCTCTGTTTCCACATCACTGGGATAAGGGCCTTTGCCGCGTTGAGTAGTGGCAGCAAGAGGGATTTCTTATATGTCTTAACGGGTGTGGGGGTGTGGTGTAATAGCATCGTTAGGGGTTCTAGGGTTAGCTCCGCACCTGTGATTTTGTTTATCTCTACCCTGATCCTCTCCCAGAATGTGGTGATCTCGGGGCACTGCCACCAGATGTGGAAGTACGTGCCGGTATGCAAGCCGCATCTCCAGCAGGTGTCCGGGGCACCTACGTTCATGCGATTGAGTACGTCAGGGGTTCTGTACCAGCGTGTTAAAATTTTGTAGTTCAGCTCCTGGTACTTGGAGCTGATAGAGCATTTGTGTGTGAGAGTGTAAATCTTGTCCCAGTCTTGCACAGTAAGGACTTCCCCCGAGTCTCTCTCCCAATGATCTTTAAATTTGAGCACCACATCTTCGTTAGTTTGGGTCTTGAGTATGGTATGTATAGTGGAGATACCTCTGTGTACGTGTGTTCGGTGTACGCACAGGTGTTCAAAGCTGGTGAGGGGTCTAGTCAGGTGTCCTCGACCATGTAAGGACATGAAGTACGTCTTAACTTGGTGGTATCTGAATTGTTCGAGTATCGTCGGTGGTCTATCTGGGCAGAGGTTTCTGAGTGGTTTAAGTCCCTGAGTGTCGAGCCATTGGTGCAGGTACATCCAGTCTGCCTGCTGGAGGCCGGCTAGGTCTTGTGGGGTTAGAGCATCGGCCAGGTCTGGGTTATGTGTGATGGGTGTCAAGGGGCTAGGAGAACTTGTGAGTTGCAGTCGGTAGCGTATAGCTATCCACACTCGGAGCGTTGCGTCAATTAGTGGGTTCTCGGTGTGCAGGTCAGTGTATGTGGCTGTATGTAGCCAAAGCCTAGCGGGTATTTTTCTATCGGTTTGTTCTAGCTCAATGGTCACCCATTGTTTTGATGGGTGTTGTGCGTGCCAGTCCGTCAGTCTGTGTAGGTGAGCGGCGCGGTAATATGTCTCTATGGAGGGCAGTCCCGTGCCCCCCATCAGTTTTGGTAGTTCCAGGGTTGATTTTTTTATTCGGGTTGGGCGAGAGTTCCAGACGAACCTGCGGATGGCAGTCGTCATAGAGCTAAAAAAGGCTCTGGGGAGAGTGATTGGCACTGTTTGGAGTAGGTAGAGTATCCTGGGTAACACGTTCATTTTAATCGCATTGATACGTCCGAACCAGGAGATGTAATATGGGGTCCATTTCTTAAGGTCCGTTTGAAGTGAGAGTAGGAGGGGGAGATAGTTATGGCGGTATAATTTGGACGGGTCTTTGGTCAGCCATATGCCCAAATATTTTAATTTAGTTTCGCACCATTTAAACTTGTATTGGGTGTGAAGGTGTGTTGGGGTGCCTGTAGGGGGTGGGAGGTGGAGAGCCTCGGACTTATCCGTATTAAGTTTAAGATTAGAGAGTGCCCCAAACTCTCGGAAAGATGCTAGGAGGTTGGGCAGCGAGATCAACGGCTGTGTAAGAAAGAACAGCAGATCGTCTGCATATGCGGCTACCCGGTATTCGTGACGACCAAGGTCAAATCCAGAGATTCCCCCATTCCGTCTGACCGCCCCCAGAAATGGTTCCAGGGAGAGGGCAAACAGGAGGGGGGAGAGCGGGCATCCCTGGCGGGTGCCATTCCTGATAGGGAAAGGGGCTGAAAGTGCCCCGTTAATGCGGATCCTCGCAGTGGGGCACGTGTACAGTGAGAGCACCCAGGCCAGCATGTTGGGGCCGAATCCCATGTGTGTAAGGGTACTCCTCAGATACGCCCAGCTCACCCTGTCAAAAGCCTTTTCGGCATCGGTGGAAAGTAGTAGTAGTTCTCTAGGGCGCGCTCGTGCTATGTGTAGGATGTTCAAGGCCTTAATCGTGTTGTCTCTCCCTTCCCTACCCGGGATAAACCCCACTTGATCCGAATGTACCAAGTGGGGGAGGTGTTTTGCGACTCTCAGGGCAATGGCTTTTGCGAATAGTTTCAGGTCCGCATTTAGTAGCGATATGGGGCGGTAGCTCGGGCAATTCGCCGGGTCCTTGCCCTCTTTTGGTATTACAGTAACTGTGGCTGCTAACGTGTCTGGGGGAAAGCGCCCCCCCTCCAGTATGGAGTTGAGGCCCAGTAAGAGATTTGGTAATAAGATGTCCCTGAACGTACGTAAGTACATCAGGGGCAGTCCGTCGGGTCCAGGGGCCTTATGGGTTTTGGAGATTTTTAGGGCTGCCGCCAGCTCCTCCATGGTGAGGGGTTGGTCTAGGTCGTCCCGCATTTCCGCGGTCAGCTTGTTATCTATATTTTGTTCCAGGAATTCAGTAATTTGGCGGGTCTGTCGTGCGCGGGCCGCGTCAGTGTTAGGTTGGGGGATATTGTATAGGTCCGTGTAGTAGTCTACGAACGCACGCTGAATTCCATCCGGCATTCGGGTTTCAGCTTTGTCA